ACATAAGACTGAAAACATATGGTATCTTTCTCTGTATGGCTTATTTCACTTAGCATAACACTCTCCAGTTCCATCCACGTTGCTACAAAGGGCCATATTTCATTCTTTCTCATTGCCACGTAGTACTCCATTGTGTATATAAACCACAATTACTTTATCCATTCATCAGTTGATTGACATTTAGGCTCTTTCCATCATTTGGCTATTGTTGAGAGTGCTGCTATAAACATTGGGGTACAAGTGCCCCTATGCATCAGCACTCCTCTATCCCTTGGGTCAATTCCTAGCAGTGCTACTGCTGGGTCATATATATATAAATATGCTGTTTATTAGTGAATTTAACTAGGAAGGCTTTATGTTTATTTGCTAAACTCTGGCAACCTCGGCTATCGGGAAGCAGCCGGACCAACAGCCTTGGGCAGCCCTGCTCTGCCCCCCTCGTTACCCCCAGAGGCCACCACGGAAACAGCCCTGCCCCCAGCTGACACCTCATCACCTCATCATTGCTGTTCCCTGAGTGCACTTTGCAAAGGCCTGCAGGCTCTTTGTGGCCCCATCTTGAGGCCTGACATGAAGGGCAACCCTTTTCAACCAAAGCGAGAGGTCGCAAAGAGCCCTGAAGGAAAGCACTTGTGGAAGAGACCCAGCACGAGGAAGCCGAGGGCAGATGTCCCATCTCTGGGAAGTATGGACACACCAAGCATAGGCACTTAAAGGTGTCGCAGCCTGTCCTGGGCAGCCCCCCACCCCCAAGGGCACCCACGAACTAATGTAATCTAAGACCTAGAGGCATGAGGGGCTGGCTGGCTCAACACTCTATAAATGGCCTTCACCCGGGCCATAGGGCTGCTGGTCTGGGCAGGCCCCGGCACGAGTCCTGGCAAGAGACATAGCCCAACCCCACTGAAAAGCATCTCAGGGGCACGGACGCACGGGCTCTGGGCCAGACCGAGTGCCATGGGCGTGTGGGGCATTTCTCTACATACGATCCAGAAGCATCAAGAAGCAGCTGTTACCCTCCTGCTCCGGCACCAACAACTCAATAATGGAATGAGACTCTACTCTGCGGACTATTTTTACTCTCGTCCAGAAAGCCACGGGCTAATATTAGGTTGAACTACATGAAAATACCAGTTTTGTAAGTCAAGAATGTCAGAATATTGGCAGCTACATATGGCCCAAACAAATCATAATGCCAAGTGCCCGCTGGGAGTCAGACTCCGCCCAAGGCCCTTCAGGTATATGTGCCCACTTTAGAGATGCAGAAACTAAGACACACGGAGGTCAAAGCACCACCCAGCAGGATACACACCAGGTCTGTGGGACTCCAAAACCCACATCCATTTTGCACCCATGTGGCCGGTTCACATGGGTCGTTCTATCTCCCATGCTCTCTGCCGGTGGGTTGGCACCTAGCCACGGCTGCAGGATTGGGCACCACCGGGACCCCCACCCTGCCGGCACCTGTCTACACAGAGGCCGCCCTGTAGCTAATCAAAGCCTGGCGTCCGGAATTAGCAGCAAAGTGTATTTAACAAACACTCTCAAGAGGAAAAAAATACTTGAAAGTTTATTTAGAGTATGAGGGAAAAGGGGCCAAAAAAAGCACTCCTAAAATAAACAGAAAGTAATCAAGGGATAAAACCTAGCCCAACTAGTTTTAAAATGCCTTAGCCATGACTATGCACTAGCATGCAGTGGACCACTGAGGAAGCCATCAGGCGCGGTGTGATCCAGGACCACTGCAGAGACAGACACACGTGCTTCCACAGCTCTCCTCTGACAAGACCGCCGAGCTTCGAAGAGGGAAGAGGACAAGAAGCCTCCCAAAAGGACAAGTCAAGGTCTGAGAGTGTCACTGGTCTCCTGGCCCACCATGAGCCCCCACCCCTGCCTCCGAGGCTAAGACCAGCACAGTAAGATAAATAAAAGGGCTGTCGGGCTCCAAGTTGAAAAAAAAAATGAATGTTCTCCTTTTTGTGAAATAAAGTGTCAGGAGTCAGAGCGTTCATAACACCCAACAAAAGTAGTTCCCACGAGCGTGCAACGAATACCCACAGGGATTAAGGCTTGAGAATAAAAAAGAGGACTGACCTTCACGTGGGCCACGTAGTGGTGACACATCTCCTCCATGTGGACCAGCTGCAGCTTCTCTGTGACCTGACCCACGGACTCGCCCAGCAACACAAAGTAGACCCTGGGCAACTGGCCCTTTGCCTTTTTGGCCACATCAGCCGTCAGAACGTAATTGAGGCCTGCCAATAAATAAGGTCAAGATGTCAGCACTCACAGAAGGCCACCTCGGTGCCCCCTCACAGGCTCACGAGCGCATTTCACACACCACCTAGCCCTCCACAGCACAGAGGACGGCCACCACAAGTCAACACCTTCGCGGAGAGAAGCATGCAGCCAGGGCCCTCACAGAATCAACACACACCCAGGCTGCCCCCCGCCTCCCTGGTGATGCTCTGTGTGCCACACTCCCTGGCTCTCCCTCACTTAAACCCCATGAGCTACCAACTGAGTCACCGATATACGCATCAACAATTAGCCGTACTCAACACAGCATCCTGAAAAGGGGATACCATGGTGAACCTGTAGCCTATTACTAAAATCTGCAGAAATGATCACGGCTGCACATTATCCTGATTCCTATAAAGCAATGGGGCATATGCCCTACACAGGCAGCAATCACCCAGTAATTCACAGATGCTGAGTCGTGCTCTCCAAATTTTTTTTTAATATTCATTTATTTTTTTTTTAATTTTTTTAACTTTTTTTTTTTTTTTGAGACAGAGAGAGACAGAGCATGAACGGGGGAGGGTCAGAGAGAGAGAGGGAGACACAGAATCCGAAACAGGCTCCAGGCTCTGAGCAGTCAGCACAGAGCCCGACGCGGGGCTCGAACTCACGGACAGTGAGATCGTGACCTGAGCCAAAGTCGGATGCTTAACCGACTGAGCCACCCAGGCGCCCCAATATTCATTTATTTTTGAGAGAGAGAGAGAGAGACAGAGTCTAAGCTGGGGAAGGGGTAGAGACAGGGAGACACAGAATCCGAAGCAGGCTCCAGGCTCTGAGCTGTCGGCACGGAGCCCGATGCGGGGCATGAACCCTTGAACTGAGAGACTATCACCTCAGCCGAAGTCAGACGCTTAACCAACTGAGCCACCCAGGCGCCCCTAGTCGTGCTCTCTAACTGCTACATCTCTTGGACCGTGTGCCATCAGGTCCACCCGGCACTGACTACGTGCCAGGCACTATTAAAGGCATGTGACATGGGACATGAACCGTGCAGGCAAAGCCCTGCCCTCATGGTGCTTACACTCACAGAAACTCAGACATAGCCTAAAGCTGACTTCATTCCCAAGTAGGTGAGGATACTGATCACGTATGTATATTACAGTGCCCATCGTTCCAACAAAACCATGACCACTGTGGGGCCTGAACTCAGGCGTACTGCAATGCACTCTTGAAGACAAAAACTCCACCTATACCTGAATGTGTGATGGCAGATGGCAAAAGCAAGGGTGACACGGTCTGGAACTTAAAAAAAAAAAAAAAAAAAAAAAAAAAAAAAAGTTGGTTACAATATAGGGCCACCTGAGTGGCTCAGTCAGTTAAGCAACCTACTCCGGCTCAGGTCATAATCTCACAGTTCAGATGTTCGAGCCCCGTACGGGGCTCTCTGCTGTCAGCACGGAGCCTGGAGCCTGCTTCCGATCCTCTGTCCCTCTCGCTCTCTTCCCTTCCCCCACTTGCGTGTGCTTTCTCTTCCAAAAATAAACAAACATCCAAAAAAAAAAAGATGGTCACAACACAGAATGCACATTGGACAAACCCAAAAGGCTTTACTTCCATTAGTTCGGAGTCAGTAACCCTACAACAATGTGTTTTATTCGGCAAATAGGGCTGTGGGGTCAATGGACCCAGCTCGCTGCTTTTCTGCACCACAGAACCCTGCTTCAGAGGTCAGTCCTCTGTGATACTTTTTATTTTTTAACTGCTTTGGGGATTCCGGGGGATGTGGCAGTTTTCAAGTGAGAGAGAATGAACGTTCTGTCCCCAAAATTACCAGATGAGGCCGCGGGAAACCATGCCCATGCCCTGTCTCCACAAACCAACCCCTTAGAACCTGGGGCTCTTGCACCGGTAATAAGCACTCACATCTGCCCACATTTAAGTCTGTGAAGCAGGGCAGCAGGGATGACTCTGGCTTTTAATAGCATCAAAGGGATCAGCCACCAGGGTACGTACAAGCAAGGAGGGAGGAAAGTGACCGGGACAGGCATTCTGCAGCTGCCACAGGGCGTACTTTTGACGCGTGTAATGGTTTTCCTGGGCCTCTGCCATCTCGGGGATCCTCCCATGCCCCCTGGCAGATTCCTGGTCAGCAAGGGCCGGTCTGCCCCAACTTGTTTATTTCGGCAAACGGCCGATTGCCAAGGCCAGGCAGGGGTCACCAGGGGGGCCTGAGACCTGGATACTCGCAGGCAATATTATGAAGGAAAGAATGCATTGTGGGAAAGGAATGTGACAGAGCAAACATGGAGCCCACATGAGAGTTACACACCGACTCCCTCGGTGACAGCAGGTAGCGAGGTGCACACACAGAATGCCGAAGCTTTGGGGCAATCTAGGGACCGTCCAGCTCAAAACCTTCATTTTTCAGATGTACAACTGAGTCCCCAAAAAGGGAGCCAGACTTGCTCCTGGCCAGAGAGCCATCCACCACAGAGCCGAATCTAGAACTCTCCTAACCTCCAGGGTAGGGCTATTCCAACCACACTGGTGCTTGGGGTATTTTTTACATTTTCTGACCAAAAAAAAAAAAAAAAAAAAAAAAAAAAGGCAAAACAAAAAGTCACATTTTTTGCATGCACACACAGCAGAACCAAACACACACAATGATCCAGAACTGAACTCTGGCCCACTTGTTTTCTACTGATCGCAATTTCCCTGGGCAACAGCCAAACAGTAGGAAAGGACACGTATAAATGGACTGAATTTGAACCTTCTGTTCCGCAAGTCCAGGGCTAGAGATGGGCACTGCTGGAAGACAAGCCAGGCCATGGCCAGGCAAACCAACATGGCGGTGGGAAGCTGCTGAGTGGGCCTCGTCCCGGGCAGCGCCCTCCCTGGCCTTCCTCCCGGGTGGGAGAGCTGCCCTGTCTTAGGAAGGGTGGGCATGGGGAGAAGACAGCGTGTGAACCCTCTTGCCAGCGATGAGCTAGCTGAGCTCAGAGAAAGTCTGGGTAGAAATGATCCCAGGAAGACGGAGAAGACAGTATCAGTGCCCCACCCACATCCTCTTGGCTCGTCCCATTCCTCTGCTGCCAGCCCAGCTTGCACCCTCACCCCCTTTCCTGAGAGCTTTCTCTGGTGGCTCCGCCCACACGCATGGCAGACCAGAAGTGCCAGAGAACCCAGGTCCCCACCACAGTCCCTCATCCCTTGGCTGGGGTAACTCTGAGGGTGCTCCACACTGACTCCCAGGGTTCCACAGCAGGACTCAGCTCCAGCTGCCTGAAGTGATAACTTGTTCAACAACATACCTTCTGTGCGGCTGCTGTGATGGTTTGTTTGTTTTCAACCTTTTTTGAGAGACAGAGAGGCAGAGCGTGACCGGGGGAGAGAGAGAGAGAGAGAGAGGGAGACACAGAACCCGAAGCAGGCGCCGGGCTCCGAGCTGTCAGCACAGAGCCCGACACGGGGCTCGAACTCAAACTGTGAGGTCATGACCTGAGCCAAAGGTGGACGTTTAACCGACTGGGCCACCTAGGCGCCCCTGTGATGGTTTATTTTATGTGTCAACTTGACTAGGCTTCACTACCCAACCTAGATGTCATTGCAAACGTATTTTTACATGAGATTACATTTAATTCAGTAGACTCTGAATAAAGATTGCCCTCCACAATGCGGGTGGGCCTCATCAGATCAAAGACCTTATGAGAAAAAGACAAAAGTCACCCCAAAAGAAGGAATTCCACTTTCAGACCGCCTCCACACTCCAGTGTTACTACACACACATCCTATTGGTTCTGTTTCTCTGCAGGACCCTGATGGGCATCGCTGCCTTCCTTTCTTGTCTCACTGTCACACTTTCCTACCGGTCCTTGCTGGGACTGATCATCACCCGGGTCAACCACGTGCGCTCGAATCCTTGACTCACGGCTCTGCTTCTGGGAGAATCCGAATCAAGATGGGGCAGCCCAGGAAAGGGGACTGGATTCAACCTTCAATGTGGGCCTAGCACGGTGCTGGATACTTTTCAAACACCTGTGAAACCCCATCTCGCCGTGGACTCTCCGACCCGACAGATCCCTCTTACGACTCAAGGGGGGGACAGAGACAACTCACAGTTACTAGAAACTGAGCTGAGGACCACGACCGCTGCTCCAGGCAGAGCGCGGGCATGCCAACACATTCACCTATCAGATTTTTTCTAAACTGTTAAAATACACAGTCACAGACAGACCGAATTATCCAATTCGCCAAGCGCGATCATTCTGGAAGCTTTTCATCTTTAGACCCGCCTGCTTAATGTTTCTCCTTGATTTAAAATTTACTTTGACATTTTAAATCACACAAAAAGAAGTCGGCTCCATATCAAACTCTCTCTTCTAGAAGAAAGCCACCACAAGACTCACCATGGGAAGCCCAGCCCAAGGGAGGAGGGTCGACCCTAGCCACCAGCGTGGCAGGAAGTAGTGAAGATCATTCTGGAGCCCCGAGTTCGACTGGCAGTTCTAAACAGTACCAACCCCAAGAGTATCTGAAAGGGAGTCCCTGAGAAGTGGATGAGATCCCAGAGAAGCAGCCAATCAGCTGGCGTGGTTCAGCCCGTGGGAGGGTGGCCGCCCCTAATGCAAGCCAGGCCAGCCAGCCCCCATCCCGGGGAGGGTTCTGGTTCTGATTAGCGCCTGCTCCCACCACACGGTCCACATCTTCAGGTTTTCCTTCTGGCAGCTTGCGTCCATGCCATGTCGAATGATGTCATGTTGACGGAAAAGCTGACCAGCCCCAAGTCATGTTTCAGCCTCCTCCTTTCCCTGCCCCCAGCTGGCTCCTAAGGGCCCCCCATGCTGGCCCGGGCCAGGAGGGAGCCAGATGTCTCACATCAACTCAGCTCTGCTCGGTCCCAGCAAGTTTTTGATTCATTCCCATTTTCCATCACAACATGGTTTCAGCTGTGAAATTCTACTAATAAATCCTCCTTCCAGACTTACAGAGCTTCCCTCGGAGTCTCCCAAGA